CTGTAACTTGAATGCACAATGCCAGAGCTTCGTTATTTGTTTACTCTCGGAAGAATGATACCCGATCCCAAATTGTGCCTTCAAAGTACATGACATTGCAGAAACTTCTTGCCGATCTCTTTCCTCGGAACACCAAGCCAATTCAACCGTCTCTTATGAACGCAAAACATTTCTCTTCTTCTCTTTTCTGCCCGCCAAAAAAACAAACAAAAAACAACCAACCAAAATAAACCCTATCGCATCCATACACATATAGATGCGCCAGCTACGAGGCAAAGTACGGACCGCCGGTGCAGTGCGATGAATGCAAGCTGCGATCAGCCTTTGACAGGCGCGACGAGAACAAAAAGGTCAGCTCACAGACACAGTCAACAGTCAAACTGGAGGATTGCTCGCCCCGGAAGCAGCCCCTAATCATAGAAACCCTAAAATTAAGCCTAACGAATGTAGAAAACTTGAGCTGGGTGAACTGTACCCGAGAATCATGTACTTGCGTTCATAAGAGACAGTGTTTAGTCTAAGATTCTTACCTAAGCCTTTACTGTAACCGCTCGTAAAACTCTCGATTTACCTTTTGTCGCCTTCAGGTCAATGGCAAACTCCTTTGCTGGCTGTGTACCTGCGCCTACAAGCGAGCTCTGCTCAAGGCCCAGCAGGAGGGCCGAATACCCATGTCCAAGAAAAGGCCGCACGAGAAGACGTCGTCCTCGCACAGAGACAACAGCGCCGCGGCCAAGAAGCCGTCGCGCAACGAACTGGGCAAAAGCAGCAGTGGTGCCAACAGCTCCGGCGTGAATGCGGTCAGCGGAGCAGGTCTGGATCTACCCGACAAGATATCGCGCGGAAATGGAGGGAACGGGACCATTGCAGCACCCGCTGCCATCACCGTGGACACCAATTCCTCGGACCATGTGGTGGCCATCACATACCTAAAGGAGCGCATCGCCAGTTTGGAGAAGCGCCTGAATCAAAAAGACAAAGAGCTGCTCGAGAAGGACAAGCAGGTGGGTGATGCAAAGGCAGCAGGGCAAGAAAGGGGTTTAATCAAGTTTGCGAAGGTAGTTTCCCACCCTGAAAAATTCGCACATACATTCTTGATCTGCCTCAGCAGCTGTGCCAATCTAGAACATACCATGTGCAAAAACCAGTCTGCTTTTTTTTATCAGAGAAAATATACCTTAGAAATATATGTGAAGTATAGCCCAATTGCCTCCTCTCATAATCCCTAAAGAATTTTCCAAATTAATTAGCAATATTAATAATTTTAATTATTTTCCCACAGTTGACCGAACTGAAGGGCAAGAACTTCGAGAAGGAGAATGACATGCGCAACCGACTGAAGGAGGTGGAGCGTCTGCACGACATGAAGGTGGACAACTTGAACCGCAAGATTGCCAGCGTGCTCAAGGAGCTGGCCGTGCTCAAGAAGAGCAGCAACAAGAAGACGGCAGCTCTGAGCAAGGCCGAAAAGGAGGCCATCAAGCGGGAGAACCTCTCGCCCAAGGAGGAGATCCTGACAGCGGCAGTGCCGGAGAAGCAGGTCAAGCCAGAGCCGGCTGACCTGGACAAGGACGAGAAGAGTCGCGACCGCGAGGAGGAGCGCAGCGAGCAGGAGGATCGGGCCAGTGTACGTTCGCGTTCCGGCTCCAGCAGCCCCACGCCCTCGTCCAACTGAGAGGCAACGACTTCCAGCTGCATGAGCGGCAGGCAAGGATTCAGGATCCACAGAGTCTGGATGCCGTGCTCGTTTAGTTTTTCGCTATACAAATTTATATTTTTGTACTTCTGCTTTAATTGTAATATAGGTTTTACAAGATTGTTTCATATCGCCCCCTTTATGTCGCTCATCCCTGCCGCGCGAGCCCTCCCACCCTCCAAGAAATGTGACCCAATCATCAGTTAGAAAATGTAATTTGATAGGCTCAACTTAACGAATTCTTCTTTAGTTTAATTCACGATGAAACAACACAAAACCGAAGCATTGTTTACATCTTAAGAAATATACAAGTTGGGAAAGAACCAAGTGGTATTTCAACAGTCGTTATATTTAATAATGTAAGATAACAATGGTGTGTTTTTGTTAGTGGGGCTTAGGCTTGTGCCCATCGACGTAGAAGTTCCTGGTGGCCTTGGGCAGCACCAGTTCCATGCCGTCCATGCTCTTTTCCAGCAATATCTGGCAGCCGAGGCGGGAGTTCTCGCGCAGGAATGGAGCCATGTCCAGCAGATCGTCCTCTTTCTCCTCGGCGTCCTTTAGCTTCTCCAGGAAATCGTGCTGCACATATACGTGACAGGTGGTGCAGGCCAACGAAGCCTCACAGGCGCCCTCCATTTCGATGCCATGACGATGGGCCAAGTAGAGAACATTGTCGCCCACTTTACCCTGTACCTTGGTGCGTTTCCCATCCTTGTCCACATATGTGATGTTTACTCTGGTTTAGGTAAGGAATTCTTTGGTTATTGGGTGTACAATAAGTAGCCCTTCGGAGGTCTTACATTTCTTCCGGGGACTTGGGATCCTGCCATTCGAACTCGCCATGCCGCCGCGCTGCAAAGTCATCCGAATTTCATAATCTTAGTGGGGTTTTGGCCAGTAAAATACTACTGATTCTTCAGGCTGATAAGTCCTACTTACGAATTGTGGTGTGCAGGGCATTACTGGGTGTGTAGAACGCGGGCTTGGCTATCTGTTTACTAATTAATTTGCAGGTATTACGAACTGCAGACCGCCGCAGAAGTAAACAAAACATGTTTTTGAGGTTACAGTGTTAGCTGGAGGTGGGCAACCTGCGATATGTCACGGGTTTTCATGGGATGGATTATAATACAAATTAAAAAAGGTTCTTAAAATATAGATGCTTTACATTTTAATACGTTATTATTATTATGTAGGTTTTTTTCATTAATGTTAACTTTTTCAATATATTGCATTGGGTACTTTCTTTTTTATTTTTAAAGAACTGTTACTAAAATAAGTTTATTTTGGGAACTGTGACTAAAAGCTATCGATATCTATGCTTTTGGCGGGCTTTCATTTAAAATTCAAGAAGTTTACTGGGTTTCACCTGGGAAAAGGTTAACCAAAGCTTTTCTAAGTAGGATTGACATCTGGAACCTAATTTTAATATGCACAGCTTTCATTGCGAGAATAATTGAACGAAGGAAAGTTACAAGATAGAAAATTTTAAATTCAGAGTTCATGACGCCTTAAAAAACTGTTCATATGGCATTTATTACTTTATTAGATATGTTTATAATAAAACTCGTTCAATAACTGAGACATTCATATTCCTTTATTAATACTGAATTTCGATTAGTCTTAAAATTGGATTGGACTTTTAAAATGTAGCTATAAGTAAATGAATAAATGTAGTACGATGCGTGCTTAATTTTGATGACTTTTTGAAGTGCAACGATAAACGAGAGTCTTGGGAAATCACTTGGGGCTGCTGATGCTGCTACCATTGGGGTCTTTACTTGTTTTCCGGAACTGGAGCGGAAGCTGGAGGAGCTGCCTCCTTATGCCCGTTGCCATTCTGAAAGAGATCCGATGGACCCACATGCTTGATGGGAATGACCCGCTCTTTGGCCTCCTCCTTGGCAACAAGTGGAGGAACTGTGATGTTAAGAACTCCATCCTCCGACAAAGTGGAGGCAATGGCATCCGAGTCGAACTCCTTGGGCAGCGGATAACGACGGACGAAGTGCCGGGAGACATGTCCATGATCATCCTCCCGCTCCTCATGCTTTCCCTCGACCACGATGCAATCGTTGATCAATTTGACGGTCAGTTCACCGGGCTGAAAGAGTCCCACATCTAGGTGGACCTCAAAGTTGCCCTGTTTATTGGGCACACCACTCCGGCCCAGGGCGGCCAGCTCTCCGCTCCTTTTGTTGGCCACCAGGTGATGAGCATGTGCACCCATCCGTGCAATCATGCCCAGGGTATGCAAATCCAGGTCATGATGCTGCCGCGAATGCATTCGCCTGTACATGCGATTCGGAAACATATCGTGGCCATAGTACATGGAATCCGGGGAGTCCAGGTTCAAGACAAAGGGAATATCTGGCATTTTTCCTTTTTCTTAGCTTCTCTGTGTATCTAGCGGAAGTTCGATGAACCGACGACCTGTTTTCCTTTTTATAAAGTGTCCAAGGGTTGATTTGCCAGCGGGGGGATTAATTCACAATCTTAGCTGCAATTGGGCGCACAATTCACCTTGACTTCTCTGACTCGAATGTGGAGTTTTACGGGCTCGTTGCACCCTTTTATAGAGCCGGAGGAGCTTTCCCCCACTGCCGTCGAGCTTTTCTGGAGCAGCAACTCGGGGTTTTTAGATGATTCTGGGGCGACTTCTGGGAACCTTCTGGTGGCTAAGCTTTCGGAGATGTGCCAGTGCCGCTGGCTAAACCGCAGACAGCATTCAAATTTGATCCGAAATAGCGGATGCGGCCATACAGTGGAACCTCTGTAACTTAAACTACAGAGTATTTTTTTGATAATATGATTAGGGTTACCTTCTTTTCAAACTGCTCTTAACATGATGGTACTACTTACCCAGTAGTTAATACCTACCCACCTACTACTTATGTATATGTACATTAATAAAAAAAAATGGATAAGAAATTATATTTGTGTTTATAAAATTCCGAAACATTTTTAAATTTATATGAAATTTTATATGTACAGTCCTAGGGTCAAAAATCGATTAGTATAATTCCCAATAATCAAGTCTATACTTTTTCTATTTTCTGTAAACTATATCTAAAGATTTTTAAAAAATGTAGACAAATTCCCTTTATTCTCTATAAGAAATACAAGATTATTAGAACAAAATATTACCCAAGTGTCATAAATAATTTGATTTTCAATGCTGATATTTTTTTTTAACGATCTTAAGTAGTAATTTATTTTGGCTCGCTTTACAACCAATATCAAGCTATAGAAGCCAGACTGTAGGATAGCAGATAGCATGCTATGTATAGAAGACTATCCCAACAGTTTCGAATTTGAAATTCAAAGTGAAATCGGATCGAGAGCCCCGACCGGCGCCGTTTTCAGCGGACAATTAGCGACATCTCCAGCGCCGGCGTCAAGAAAACTACCCAAACAAACAAGGCGACACCACAATAATCAGACTGCGATAAGCCGACATGCCCCATAAATGAATCTCTTGGGGCCGGCTAGCAAGTCAGTTGTTCTCCAGCTGGCGAACCAAGTGAAATACTTGCTCCATCCCATCACTACAATGGCCACCTACGAACAGGTTAAGGATGTGCCCAACCATCCGGAAGTCTATCTCATCGACGTCCGGCGGAAGGACGAGCTTCAGCAGACGGGATCTATTCCAGCCAGCCTTAATATTCCCTGTAAAATAAACACTTCTCATCCTATTTTTTTAAATACTTATATTTCTTATCAAAATTAGTGGATGAGTTGGACACAGCCCTCAGTTGTGATGGTTCTTCTTTCAAGAACAAATACGGGCGATCCATGCCGGGAAAAGAATCTAGAATCATTTTCACCTGCCGCTCGGGAAATCGTGTTGTGGAAGCTGAGAAAATTGCCAAAAACCAAGGATATTGCAAGTGGGTAAAAAGATCTTAAGTTGGTTGTAATATTCTAAATGGTTTTAGTATTATTTTCAGTGTGGTGCTCTACAAAGGCTCGTGGAATGAGTGGGCCCAAAAGGAGGGTCTTAAAGCTTAGCCGTCTTTATAACTATTTGGATTTTAAATTATAAAGTAAATAAAAAACATGCGGGAAAAAGGTTTTGGAATAAATATGAATAAAACTAAACAAAACTACGCAAAACAGCTTTCATTTAATAATAAAAGGGGCAAACTTATCCCCACCAATGTATGTAGAATAACTTTTTTAGAACTTAAAATATAGGAATTCAATTATGTATGTACACTTACTTTCGCTATTGTTTTTATGACAAAAAATTTATGTATAGCATAAAATGTACCTTTCTTGAACTACGCCCATGGAAAAGCTTATCAACACCTATACACCCGCACATAGAAAGAGAGCCATTCTCTCCAACTCTCTCTTTCCCTCGCCATAAAAAACTGACCTGCCTCAATGCGCCAAAAAGAGAGAAATTCGTTGAGCGCTAATATAAAATGTAAATAAAGTACCTTTTGAGAACCCAGAGTACCCGAAACTTCTACAAACTTCTCTAAAACGCCAGAGAGCCACCCCTATTTAAATGCCATTACTTGATTTCAGGGAAAGCGGAAGATTGCATCAGCAAAGGGCTGAGAAAATTCGAGAGAATGCTGGGGGTTTCTAGATTATATGAAAAGAGTATAAATAGCAACTGGTAGAGCAGAGTGCTCTCAGTTCTAAAAATCAAATCAACAGACAACAACTCGCGAAAAATAAAATAAACTACAATTTCACCAGCTTGATTGAAAATAACAAAGCTAAAAAAACTACAACATACGATATTTTAAAAATTATAAAATATTGTAAAATAAAAATTATCTCAAGATTTAAAACAATAGAAACCGAAATAAAAAATTTGAAATATTCTATTTCAAAACATAACCAATTCCAGAATTTCATCAGACAAAAAACCACTTTAGTTAAAGTATAAAAATCACATCATAATGCGTTCCCTACCGATGTTTTGGCGTATGGCGGAGGAGATGACCCGGATGCCACGCCTATCCTCGCCCTTCCACGCCTTCTTCCACGAACCGCCCGTTTGGAGTGTGGCCCTTCCGAGGAACTGGCAGCAGATTGCCCGCTGGCAGGAGCAGGAGTTCGCCCCACCGGCCACCATTAACAAGGAGGGCTACAAACTGACCCTGGACGTCAAGGACTACAGCGAGCTGAAGGTCAAGGTGTTGGACGAGAGCGTTGTCCTGGTGGAGGGCAAATCGGAGCAGCAGGAGGGCGACCAGGGAGGCTATAGCTCCAGGCACTTCCTTCGACGCTTCGTCCTGCCGGAAGGATACGAGGCCGACAAGGTGACCTCCAGTCTGAGCAGCGACGGCGTCCTGACCATCAGTGTTCCCAATCCCCCGGCGGTCCAGGAGACCCTCAAGGAGCGTGAGGTGCCCATCGAACAGACCGGGGAGCCGGCCAAGAAATCCGCTGAGGAGCCAAAGATCGAGAACAAACAGCAGTGATATAATGAGCTCATATTAAAATTAAACACATGCTAGTGAAGCCCTTATTTATAGTTAGATCTTTCCATCCCTACCAAACAAAATTTAAAGACTTGTAAAATGAATAAGTTAATTTGTACACCTTTTAGATTTTTAGTAGAAAATACATGCTCAAAAGATTATTAAGCGAAATACTGTCTTTATTTTTGGGTTGGGATCTTATATTATATGATAAAATAATATCATACAATGTTCATATTATACTTATTGTCCGTTTTTATTTTAAACAATACTTTTCCTTAGATGGGAATATATTATATGATATGTACAATATACTGTGTACATGGTATATCAGTTCTAATTAAATGCAATTTATTGGAACTTTCGTTTGGAAGCCTAAAGATACCTTGCCTTAGATGGAAATTCTTAGCAGACCCCCAGAAATACTTTCCATTTTGATCTGTATTTATCTGGCACCTTGGCCCCATGCCTCCTACCTTTTCCGCTTCCTTCGATGATTCCGGTGACGTAGCCCCACTTGACGCGGGTCCAACTGGCCGTAATATTGTCGTGTGCACCTCGTTGGCCTCGCCGCTGCACTTGGCCGATCCGATTCGTCGCGAGAACCCATCCGATGCGCCTCGTCCGGATGACTCATCCACCGTCTCCGCCATCAGCCATCCGCAATCCGCAATCCGCATACGGCGAGGCCAGTCGACCATCTATAAAAGAACTGACGGCGGCGACGACAAGTTTTATAAGAATTTCGGACCCGAACGCTAGCGGATCGTTGCCCTAATCCCGTCGAGAAATGTCTTTGGTGCCCACCACATATCGCGATTTGTCGCGCGAATTCGACCGTCCTCGTCCGCTCTACCAGCCACCGTATGATTTCCAACTATATCCGTATTTGTGGGACGATCCGCGTGTCTGGTGGCCATCGACACACACCAGCAGGAGTGACCTGCTCCGACCTCTGGATGAGCTGGTGTCGCGGCGCGTGCGGAATCAGTTGATTCAATCGACGCCCTACGAATGGTCTCATCCCATGCGGTGGGATAACTACTATTCCGGCGAGCGAGTCCATGTGGATGAGAAGGGTTTCCGAGTCGACATAGATGTGCGGCAGTTTCATCCGCACGAAATCGTGGTCAAGACCAATGACGACTATGTGATTGTCCAGGGCAACCACAATCGCCGGAATGAGGGCTCCAATGGCCTGGTGGAGAGGCACTTTGTGCGGAAGTATCTCCTACCACGCGGCTACAATGCCAATGAGGTAATCTCGGACATATCCAGCGATGGCATCCTCACCATCAAGGCTCCACCACCGCCACCAGCTAAATACTACTCTCCCGGGGAGCGTTTGGTCCGCGTCCATGAGACTGGCAAGCTGGCCCTGCCCTGGAAATAAACCACGATCCCGGAATGGATGTGTTTACCAAACCCAAAGATCTGCCCACCAAAAGCGCCTAACTCAAGGTGAACTATTTTCGGACAGCAAGCAAGTGCAGCCGATCATTTGAATTGGATTCAAACATAAATAAAATACAAATTGTACTCGTAGGTAATATATAAAATGCGCAATAAATATTTGCTAGAAACACTGGGGTTTACGGAGGGGTCTTGGCCCGGTCGCGCCCAAATGCAGGCGTCAATGTTTTTGGTGGTAAAATGCTTCCTACAATTGATGATTTTCAAAATATTAACTCTTTAGATGATAATAGCTACTAGTTAATGAAAAAATGCCTAAATTAAAAGATATCGCAAGTACTAGTCTAACAAGTATCACAGAAATTATTGCAAAACAGACAGTAACATTTGTTTTAATGTTAATTATTAACAAACAACGTGGTCTTTATAAAGACTTTACAAAATATAGAGTACAGGTTACCTTTCAATCCAATTTCCCGAAAAATAAAGGCAACAAGAAGTTTAACTTTTCACACCAGGTGATTAAATAACTTATATTTTAAGTCTTTAGCTCGTTACAAATGCAATGAAATAAATAAGGAACACACATATTTGTGAGGGAATGATGGGTGCTTTGGGAGTACAATATGGAGCTGATGCTCTTGATGATTTTTAGGAATACAATAGGAATTCGATGATCTCCAGATCTGCTCTACTTGGCGCCGGTGCTGGCCTTAGGGGTGCCGTTGGTGGCACCGTTCTCCTTGCCCTTGAGATCGCTGGTTTGATTCGGCTTGACGTTGAGGTGGGCGGGACCCACCTGCTGGATCTGGATGACGCGCTCCTTTGACTTGTCCTCTATGGCCTGCGGTTTGGGAATGCTGACGGTAAGCACGCCGTCGGAGGACAGCTGCGAGACAACCTGGTCCGGTTTGTAGCCCTCGGGAACCTTGTAGCGACGCACAAAGTGCCGCATGATGTAGCCATGGTCATCCTGGCGCTCCTCGTGCTTGCCCTCCACCAAGATGGAGTCGTCCACCACCTTGACATTGAGCTCACTGGGCTTGAACTGGGCCACGTCCATGCACACCTGGAAGCCATCCTTGCCCACCTGTGCGGTGGCTGGCCAGTGGATGTCGTTCTGGTTGGCCATCTGGCGACGAAGGGCTAACACCTGGCCGGCGGGCGACGAAGGGCAGATGGGCGAGGCGCAGGGGCAACCGTTGATCGAGCGGCGACGCTGGCTGCCATGGGGCTGCAGGTAGTGGGGATTCACTCCCAGGCCGAATTCGTATAGGGGGCTGCGGGGCTCCTGGAGTTCGTCCACCAACGAAAGAAGAGTAGATAGCGCCATTTTGGTTTTGACTTTTTAGGTTAGACTTTCGCGAAGGTTAAAATATTTCTTCTTTTTTTTCTTTGGTTAGGTTGAATGAACTTTTGTGACTTGCAAAGGTATTTTATTCCTTTTCCTTTTATAATTTTCTTTCTTTTAAAGTTCAAGTTGCTTGTTTGGAGTTGTTGACTTGTTTGCTGTTCGATTTTTGAATTCGATCTGTGCTCTCTTCATCAGGCAGCGCTGCTTTTATAGCCCGCTGAGCTTTTCTCGAAGAGTCTGGAATGAGCGAGAAAAAGAGAAGAGAGAGAGAGCGCACACAGAGAGCGCACACAGAGAGAAAATAACAAACATTAAGGGTTACTTTGATTATTACCCTTTCAATACAAGCTAAAACGATATTTTGGTACTATTAGCCAGAAAATGCGACAATTGGAAGACTTTAAAATTACACTAAATCTCAAAAAACTAAAAAAAGAGACAAAAACGAATTTAAAAACACCAAACAATCAAACTTTTTTCCTGTGTAAAAAGAGCGTGGAGAGCGCCTGTGTGAGTGACAGTAAGAGAGAGAGAGAGAGTTAAATTTGGGGAGCGAAATTTCTAGAAGAGTCCAGCAAACACCAGAGTAAAGAGAGTTCTCGCAATTTCCTAGGATGCGTGCAGAAGAGAAAGCCGGCTAACGGCAAACAAAACAAAACTGCATTTTTCTTTATTCTGTTTTTCCTCTTTATTGTTAAGTACATTATTTCGTGTTTCTGTCTTTAAGTTTTACTGGAATACTTGTAGTTGTTGTCACATATGTTTTTAGGAAATCATACATTTATCGCCCGCTATCTCCCACGCTTAGTAATTGAGTGCTTTTTCCCGTCAGCTTTCTCGGCTCTTTTTGTGAAATGCAAAAGAAAACGCAAGAAACATTTATGGAATAAAACGCACGCCTACTCGTGCTGGTTATTATTTGTTCTTAATTATCTGGTTTGTTTTTCTTATTTTTGTGTTATTCAGTCTTCACTTGGCCAGCTCCTCAGCTCCTTTGGCTGCAGTGGCTCCGTTTTCGCCCTGGTTCTTGGCCAGGAGTATGGCCGCATCCACGGCGGCCAGTTCCTCGCCGCCTTTCTCCACCTCCGCTTTCTCCAACTTCTCCACCTCCACCTTCGCCTTCTCCTCTTTGCTCTCGTCTGCTTCTGTGGGAACTTCGGGTTTCTTGGCCAGCGGCATTTCCACATCCTCGGGTGCTTCGGTGGTGGCTCCATTACCGTTATTCGAGGCGATAGCCACTTCGTTGGCATTGGCATCCTCTGCTTTCTGCTCCTCTTCGCTGGCCATAACGGGTTTCGGTGTGGGTGTGGGTGTGGGTTTGGGTTCCTCCTCCTTGGCAGCCTCTTCGTTTTTGGCAACCACTTCCAGGGGCTCTGGTTCTGCAACGCCATTGTTGGCACTGGAAGGGGCTTCCACTGCAGCGGCGGCAGCGGTCGTAGCAGCCTCGCTGGAAAGAGAGGGCGAAAGAGCCGCTACTTCCGATGACGATGACGTCTCCATCTCTGCCTCCTCCTGACCATTGCCATTGCTCTCGGAGAGAGTGAGCGAGAGCGAGGGAGTCGGAGTGGAAGTGGGTGCAGTCGGAGTGGAAATGGTAATGGAAGTGGGTACGGGAACACTAACTGCCGCCGACTGCTGCTCTGGCTGCTGCTGCTGCTCTACCGACTTCGGCGGCTGCGCATCCTTCTGCTGCTGCGAAATCTGCTGGATGTCCACGATGCGCTCCTGCCGTTCCAGGCTTCCCTTGGCCACTGGAAGCGGTGGCGGCGCCTTGACCGTCAGAATCCCATCCGATGAGAGAGTAGAGTGGACCTCGTTGGGATCATAGCCCTTGGGCAGAATGTACTTGCGGATGAAGTGGCGCGAGATCACCCCATGGCCATCCTCCTTCTCGTCGTGCTGACCCTCGACCACGATGCAATTATCGATGGTCTTGACGGTCAGTTCGCTGGCGGCGAATTGCTTCACATTCATGCTCACCTGGAAGCCATTCCGATTGACCACCGAATAGGCGGATTTGCTGGCCGTCGGCTGGCTGGCACTGCCACTTCCGCCGGAAGTGCCCTTGTCGCTGCCCAGCTCCTTTTCCAATTCCAGCAGCGACTTATTGCAGCAAACGGTTTTCGCACCGGCCACTCGATTATACGGATGATGACGATGCTGCTGCACCGGCGACTGAGCCTTGATGGGCACCCACATCATCGCATTTCCACGCCCCAGCCCGCGACTCATCTGTGGGGCATGCAACTGTGAGGTGGCATCCAGGGGATACAGCCCAAATCCGGCCGAATCATCTATATCCATGGCCAGACTGCGATTGAAATCGTGCAGCTCCTCAGCCAAATCGAGTATAAACGGTATCAGCGACATTTTCACTTTTTTCCCTTAGCTTTTGGGGTTTTTCAGAGTCTTTTTTTTTAGTTTTTAGTAGTTTTGGGGGATTAGTTTGTTCTGGGAACCGGCGGCGATCCGTTCTGGTCTCCAACTGGACTGCGTTTGAGCCCTTATGGCTGAATGCCGGCGCTTTTAAGCGACCGTGCAGCGCTGAATGGAAAACCTGGTCACTTCCAGTCGCCTTCCAGGCCAGCTCCCAGGCGAAACTACTACGAAACTCCTCCAGAGAACTCGCCAAGGGGTAGGGATAGCAATAAAAACAGCCTGCCAAGCCGTGTACTATGCCATTTTCTGGTATATAAACCGAAATAAGAGATACTTTTCCTATATCCCAGATAGCCAAAGAACAAAGAAAGTACTCGTATTCCAGTGCGAAACCAGACAAACTGCAGCGTTGCAGAAAAAAGAGGCAAACCGGCTTGGAACCGAGGGATATATGCACGAAAAACCCCCTCCAGAGATGCCATCTCCCTTCAACTGGAGATATATATTTATATATATAAATGTACCCATATAGAGGGGGTATATGTAAAGTGGTCGTGTTGCAGCTGAATTCCCATTGCCGGCATTGAGCGAACAGCTGAGAGTCTTGTGCCGGTTGCCGAGTCGCCGGCGATAAACAACTACAACAACAGCTGGGCCGCCGCCTGGAAGCTACAAATCGGCTGGAGCTGGAGCTGGAGCTGGAGGATTGGCAATCGCAAACCGGCGTCGCGTAAACATGCGCACTGTCAGCGTCTGGAGCAACCCATACATATGGTCTGGCCATTTATATGTATCTACATGTGTACCCCACCGCACAGATGATGATATGCTGGATTTGTATATTGTTACATATGTAGCCAAGTGCAAGCGACGATGGTAACCGGTTGAAAAGCTCCAAAAAGCAACAACATCCAGACGATTGCCAGACAGTGGAGACTTTGCTAAAATTTAGTGGGGCCCCGAACTCAACTCCGGGATACTAAAAGATACATATGTATCTGTATCCCAACTGCAGTGGGGAAAAAGAGCAAAAACCTTCAGAGATTGCTGCGTTTGAGATGGCCCCTTATATGCTATTCCGCACTCAAACTCGCAATGTACTTGCTTCTATTTACCCAAACCGGGGGGAGATATCTGACGGAGCATTTCGTACATTATGTGACCACCTTTTCGCATAGACAACTTCCATTGCGTTGGCGTTGGATTGTGTAAACCCCGGGCACATACCGCATGTACTCCGGGGAAGGGAAAAGCAACAAAAAATGAGGCCATAAATAACAACTTGAATGATATAAGAACGAAGGATCGAGTTCTATAACAACACATATTCTGTAACTTGGGAGGGCTACTACTTATATACAATGTACTTATATACCCGTAGAAATATTTATGTAGTAATTTTAAACAAAGTGTACTTTCATTTATTAAATTTTTTAATAAACAGTTTTAAGAAATCGTTTTCATATGTATGTTCTTCTTAAACATATTCAAAAAGCGTTACGTTACAGTTACAATTATTATATTAATAATTTATTTTAAAATCTATTGTTCGGTGACCACATGGTTCCCAAAAATACATCAAGGACTGTAAGTAAGAGTTATTTGTGATTTTTATTTTAAAAGACCTACTTAGAATTTTGATTTTAAACGTACAAAAACGCTCTTTATGATATAGTCCACAAAGCAAACAACAATCACAAATTTGGAAGAAAAAATACATCTATATCAACGCTTTACTTAAAATTCATAAATTTCCAACTAACTGGTTAAAATTTAAGAAAAGATCTTATCATTTTCAAATAGAAATCACATCATCACTTTTTATTTTTTTTTAATCGTTTTTAGAAAGTGAATAAAATACATATGAACTGACATAAAAAAAAGAGTCAATATTTATCTATGTATGTAAACGCTCTTAAAAAATGTACATATATATTAGGTATACCTTTAGATAGATATTACCCAAACCTAATAGATTCATGACTATAAATTACTTTTCTCTACTTAAGAACATTATTTTTTCAGATTAATTAGAGTTAATAGCTTGACTGGCGTGCCAAAAAACATAATTGCTATACAATCTCGAAGTTTCGCGAAAGAACTTCGTCCTCCGAGGTCGCTGTCCCTTTCTATCTCGTATATACACATATTATTTGACGGTGCCGATGAAGCGACTTATCACTCCAACAGGCCTTTTTATCTTCATCCCCATCCCCCTCCGGATGGCTCATTTTCCATAGCGATACTCTCACTTTCAATGGCAGATAATGCGTAATTCCTGCAAATTCGAGAACTTTTTGCGATATTTTCAGGCTCGAGAATTTTCGTGGCCCTCCTAGATGTTTGTACCGTGCCCCATTGCGCACAGATACGGCACACACACACAGCGGCGACACTCTCACAGATACAACGGCGCACTCATACAACCAAAGCGGGCGGTTGTATAAATAGCCGGCGATTTCGTTCAACCGGCATCAGTTGAATTCAAACAACAGAAGCGATAACAGCTAAAGCGAAAGCAAAAGCGAAAGCGATAGTTACTATCATCAAAAGTTCTTTTAAAAAGTATCTTATTAAAGAATCCTATCTCATAAAAGATACAAATTAAAGAATCATATAAAAAGTTACCTAGCTAAAGCGAAAGTTACTTATAAAAAAAAAGAAGTACTTTGAAAAAGAGTCTTTTTAAAGAATCTTATAATACAAAAAGAAACTTTAAAGAACCCTATTGAAAATGGCAAACCTACCGCTATTGTTGAGCCTTGCCGACGATCTGGGCCGCATGTCAATGGTGCCCTTCTATGAGCCCTACTACAGCCACCGATCCAGGAATCCCTACCTGGCATTCGCAGTGCCCATGGAGCAGCAGTTGCGCCAGCTGGAGAAACAGGTCGGCTCTTCGTCGGGAGCCTCGGGAGCAGTTTCGAAGATTGGAAAGGATGGCTTCCAGGTTTGCATGGATGTGTCGCACTTCAAGCCCAGCGAACTGGTGGTCAAGGTCCAGGACAACTCTGTGCTGGTAGAGGGAACCCATGAGGAGCGCGAAGATGACCATGGCTTCATCACCCGTCACTTCATCCGTCGCTACGCCCTACCCGAGGGCTATGAGGCCGATAAGGTGGCCTCCACTCTGTCCTCCGATGGCGTCCTAACCATAAAGGTCCCCAAGCCACCGGCCATCGAGGACAAGGCCAACGAGCGCATAGTCCAGATTCAGCAGGTGGGTCCTGCCCACCTCAATGTCAAGGAGAATCCCAAGGAGAAGCCGGAGCAGGAGAACGGCAAAGACAAGTAGGGAATCCATTCCCAAGAAATCGCTGTATTTAACCATTATCAAAGACATGTATCTGTTTTATAAGCTGTAGTTTGCCGGGGACATCCAACCATACTATATATAAGCCATTAAGGGTGTCCTGCTTTAATCTTATTTTGTAATTTAATATTTAAATTACTGAAATTGGTTGAATTGATATTACCAATAAAATTAAAATTATATATATTAAAAATTTAAATTTCTATGGTACTTTTCTCTGGGGGGTTGAGTTTTATGGCTGTCAAGATTTAAAGAAACTCTGGGACTCTGTTACATTTATTCAAGAAACCAACCCGACCTACATGTTAAATCTAAAGGTTTTACTTTTAGAAAAGAAAAGTTGGTCGAGGTTAATAACGATTTAAGAAAAAGTATCTCAATGTATTGGAATTTGATTGGTTGATTTCTTTTAATTTATTACATTTTTCAATAAACAATTTTAATAAATCGTTTTCATGTGCATTTAATTTTATTTAAAATATAAAAAGCTTTTAGTTATACAATAATAATTTGTTTTAAAATCTATTACTTGGTGACCACACGGTTCCCAAAAAATCCTCAAGAGTAGAGCAGCATATGTACTAAAAAAACAATAGGTCAACTATTAAGCTTTTAACTATCTTTTAAAAAACCGTCACTTTTAACTACACTTTGACCTTTTTTTTATAGAGGTATTTGAGATTTTTAATTTAAAAGGCCTACTGAGAATTTTGATCTTAAACGGCAAAAAATAAGGTTCTTTATAATCTTGTCCACAAAGTATCAAACAATCAGCAAATTTGGAAGAAAATACCAATCTACTATATTAACGCTTGACTACAAATTCATAACTTATTTGCCGCCTAATTTGGGTAAAATTTAACCGAAGATCTAAGAAGGCATTTTCAAATAAAAAACACAACAACCCTTATTGTTATTTTGTACATCGTTTTTAAAAAGAGAATAAAATACATTAATGTCCAAAAAAACATTGGTCAGTCCCCATCTACACTAAAAGCTCTTAAAAAATGTACATATACCTTTATTTTTATTAACGATACAATTTTCTCCATTAAGAAATGATAGATTCGTGCCTTTAAATTAATTTTCTCTACTTCAGATTAATTAGAGTTAATAGCTTGATACAGATAATTCGAAATTCCTGCAAATTCGAGAACTTTTTGCGATATTTTAAGGCTCGAGAATTTTCGTGGCCCTCCTAGATGCTTTTACCGTGCCCCATTGCGCACAGATACGGCACACACACACAGCGGCGACACTCTCACAGATACAACAGAGCACCCATACAACGAATGCGGGCGGTTGTATAAATAGCGGGCGCTTTCGTTCAACCGGCATCAGTTGAATTCAAACAACCGAAGCGATAACAGCTAAAGCGAAAGCAAAAGCAAAAGCGAAAGTTACCTATCAACAAAAGTACTTTGAAAAAGTATCTTACTAAGGCATCTAATCTCATAAAAGATACAAATTAAAGAATCTAAAAGTTAGCTAGCTAAAGCGAAACTTACTTATAAAAAAAGAAGTACTTTGAAAAAGAGTCTTTTTAAAGAATCTTATAATACAAAAGAAACTTTAAAGAACCCTATTAAAAATGGCAAACCTACCGCTATTGTTGAGCCTTGCCGACGATTTGGGCCGCATGTCGGTGGTGCCCTTCTATGAGCCCTACTACAGCCAGCGGTCCAGGAATCCCTACCTGGCATTCGCAGTGCCTTTGGAACAGCAGTTGCGCCAGCTGGAGAAACACGTGGGCTCTTCGTCGGGAGCCTCGGGAGCAGTTTCGAAGATCGGAAAGGATGGCTTCCAGGTCTGCATGGATGTGTCGCACTTCAAGCCCAGCGAACTGGTGGTCAAGGTCCAGGACAACTCGGTCCTGGTGGAGGGAACCCATGAGGAGCGCGAGGATGACCATGGCTTCATCACCCGTCACTTCATCAGGCGCTACGCTCTGCCCGAGGGCTATGAGGCCGACAAGGTGGCCTCCACTCTGTCCTCCGATGGCGTCCTAACCATAACGGTTCCCAAGCCACCGGCAATCGAGGACAAGGCCAACGAGCGCATAGTCCAGATTCAGCAGGTGGGTCCTGCCCACCTCAATGTCAAGGAGAATCCCAAAGAGAATCCCAAGGAGCAGCCGGAGCAGGGCAAAGGCAAGGACAAGTAGGGCATCCATTCCCAAGGACTCGCTGTATTTAACCATTATCAAAGTCATTTATCTGTTTTATAAGCTGTAGTTAACCGGGGACACCCAACCATACTATATATAAGCCATTAAGGGTGTCCTGCTTTAATCTTAATTTGGAATTTAAAATGTATATTACTGAGTTTCGCTGAATTAATATTACCAATAAAAATAAAATAGCTACTATTACAAATTTAAATTTCTGTGGTACTTTTCTTTGGGTGGTTGAGTGTTAGGGCTGTCAAGATTTAAAGAAACTAAACATTTGTACATATCTCTGGGGCTCTGTTATATTTATGCAAGGAACAGTCCTGCATATTAAATTTTAAGATTTTACTTTTAGAAAAGAGAAGTTGATCGAGGTTTATTTCGATTTATAAAAAGTATCTCAAAGCATTGGATTTTGATTGGCTGAATAAACCTGTAGTTAGTTTTGTATCTTTACTGCTCCATATAAGTGCATTTTTGAGGAACCACTCCATCTTAGATATGTACATATTTATGTACATATGGACGTACTGAAAATATTTTACTTTTGCAAAGGCGATACTTTAGCTTAAAGAAAGCTCAAAAGAAATTTATTTTTGGGGCAAATATTTAGATATTGCAATTTTGTTCGTATGTAATATGTACTTCATACATAAGATACAAATGTAAAATAATAATAGTCATGTGTACATGAATTTTCCAGAAACCGACTATAAATAATTTGCAAAATCTTCAATTGCCCCGGTTCCCGACTTCGCGAAGCAGGGGCGAAAGCAGGCTGCGAAATGTTTGCAGCAAACAAAAGAACGGCAAACATGGGAAGCAGCACGAAGCGAAACGGGAGTTCAATGCACCTGGTCCACTGAAAATACAGAATATCAGCTCCGTTGCACTCTGAACAGAAAGCGTTTAAAAAGTCCGATAAGAGAAGGAAATGCTTTAAATAAATATTGCACTTAAGTATGAATGTATGTCTGTATGTACTGTCGTTTAACTGTTATTTATGCTTTGTTTTTTGCACAGAGAAACTCCCAGAAAATAAATGTCAAGAACTTTCTAGCTTCCTCTCGCTCTCTCTATAAAATGCCGGCTGTGCCAGAAAGAGCGAGAAAATGCGAGAGAGAACCTTGTTGAATTCAAGGGCGTGGGTTTAGGACAACCCAAAGGGGGTTTACAATGTCAAACTTAAATTCAACATAAAGGACCGATTAAATAATGTTTTTGAAAATATCTTTGTCTAACTATGTCTAATTGTATGTAAGTTAAGAACACATTTTTCTTTATTCCTCTTTTTTTACCCTTCATAAATATTCATATGCCTAAATATTAATTTTATTAATAATTCAATTTATTTTTGTTTTTTAGGTTTTTTCAATAATTAATTATTTGATCTGTATAAGAAAAATTTAAAAGCGTTTCCCTGATAACAAATGTTTACTTCACCCCCTTTAAATTACTTTACAGCCGCCCCTGTTTTCATTGCACTAGTGTGTGTGAGCCCGGCGTCGGTATAAAAAGCCGGCGTCGACGTCGATGGAGCACAGTCTAAATTCAAAAATTGAAGAGAAAAGAGTATCAAAGCTTCTGAAAAAAGCGAAAAAAAAGTATTTCCTTTGTCTAGACAGGATTGTGATTTAAATAAAAAAAAAAAGCAAAGATGTCCATTGTACCACTGCTTCACTTGGCCCGGGAGTTGGATCACGACTACCGCAGCGACTGGGAGCACTTACTGGAGGATGACTTCGGATTCGGAGTCCATGCCCACGATCTGTTCCATCCCCGTCGTCTGATGTTGGCTCCCAGTTCCCTGGGTCGTCGTCGCTTCTCGCCCTACGAGAGGAGTCATGGCCATCATCATCACCAGTTGGTGCCACGTCGTTCGTCGGCTGGTGGTCCGAATTCCCTGCTGCCCGCCGTGGGCAAAGATGGCTTCCAGGTGTGCATGGATGTGTCGCAATTCAAGCCCAACGAGCTGACGGTCAAGGTGGTTGACAAGACGGTGGTGGTGGAGGGTAAGCACGAGGAGCGCGAGGATGGGCACGGCATGATCCAACGTCACTTTGTGCGCAAGTACACGCTGCCCAAGGATTTTGACCCCAACGATGTGGTGTCCACCGTCTCCTCCGACGGGGTGTTGACCCTCAAGGCCCCACCGCCGCCCAGCAAGGAGCAGGCCAAGTCGGAACGCATTGTCCAAATCCAGCAGACGGGACCCGCCCACCTCAGCGTCAAGGCGCCCGAAAATTCAGAGGGAAAAGCCGAAAATGGCGGCGGCGAGAAAATGGAGACTGGCAAGTAAGCTTTGCAAAGAAGCAACCAAGATTCGCTGGCGAAGAATAAGGAGAAGAATTTAACGGAGAAAAAGGAAGAGAGTGTTGCAGCTCTGCTCGGAGAGTGCAAGACTAAAAGGGGATACCACCCAAAACACACCCATTGTATTACTCTCTCTTATAAAAACCCACACACACACACACATCATCACATCTTAGACCTAAGCGATTTTAAAACCCATTTATCATAAAGAAAAAAAACCATTTTAGTCTGTATGATTAGGCTAAAAACTGGAGAATTCAATGCTCCCTTTGAGTTTATACTTTTTGTAATAAGAACAGGCGCAACACTCGGGAGTACTTTGCATTTCTTTTGTGAAAAAACCAATAAATATGCGAAAAAACATCAGCTGGCGTGTTTTTAATTGTTTCTCCCCTTTTTCTTTCCTTAATTTGCATTTCAGGTAAACCAGTTTTTTACTGGATGTTCACTTCGAAGGGTCTTTGTTTTCATTTTCCGCCCTTGTCCTTGATTTTAGTTACCTTTCTTTCATGGGGTTCCCATTTTTAGAATTTTTTTTTGCTTAGGGTCCACTTTTTCTATTTTCTAGTATAACTATATTTGAAATAAATTTTAAAATATGTAAAGTTTACATATTTTGGCTTATTTCATTTGAAGTCTTGATATATATATTTACATTAACACATTTTCTAATTGAAGTAAACACAAATCCCCTGACATTCTATAATTTTAATTTATTTCGAGTTGCAGATGTATAAAACTAAGCCCCAATTAAAAATACCCCTCTCAACTAGTTTAATCAATTGTTTGCACATATTTATTTAAATATTTAATACATAATAAAAAATTTAGTTGCCCGTTCTGGTTTCTTATTGGTTTTTATGCTCGTAACTTGTAGCGATCATAAGTATTTACTGTTTAGGCTATGTCTATATCTAAATCGGCTTTTATTCATAATTCTCAGCGGGGTTTTGAGATACGGATGTATCTCAATTTCGCTTTCGCTGTTAACCGCGAAAAAGCTTTTAGTGGTTGTCATGTTGCTGTTGTTGGTTGTATCTTAGTTGATGTTAAGTAAAAATGTTTTTTTTTCGGCATTTTCTACTGCTGCGGCTGCTGTCAATATGTTTTTGCTTGCATTTATGCACGTTATGTATGTATGTATATTCAATGACGCTTAATCACAGATCAATTTTTTAAAATTTCATTTGACTTAGAAGTTAAGAAACAAAACACACAATCCTACACTTGGACTAAATAATTACTGTCTCTGGTTGGGTTTTTGGGCTTTTTGGCATGGACAACTTAGTAGACATATGTAGATATATGGGATCGGAGAGGCTGGATGATAGCAGTACACGAATACAGGATAAATTATACATCGATTTAGCGACTAAATCTAGATACGTAATCTGCCGGTTTCTAAATATTCTTTTCTCTTAAGATTTCCTTTGTTTTTGTGTTTTGTTTTAATCATTGCAGTCTCAAATTGTTTATGGGCTTTGCTATATAAAGAGGAGAACATAGGGTTTCTTGGGCCGCTGGCCACGATCTGGCTTTTGAAGCCCCTTGGTGTGCGGTATAAAAAATAGTATTTCCTTTTTACTTCCTATGTGGATCTCGGGGTCTCCGTCGACCAGCGGTGAATACTTGAGAGCAGAGGGCTTTTATGGGGAGTGTGAGAGAGCGCACGTAGATCATTGTGGATCATATCAGACCAGTTTTGCAGGATTCATCCCTCACTTCTGGATGAGACTTTCGCAGCTGCTGCTGAGATTTGGCAACGACTTGAAACTGAGTCGCGATCGATCCACCTGGGCATCCGAAGGACCATGGCCCCTGCTGCTCTTGCTGCTACTGACGCCGTCCACGCCCCTGTCAAAGGATGAGGAGATCACAAGCGGATGTGGATGTTTATGCGACTGCCGCTGCTGTTTCTGCTGGCAGGCATAAGCGGCAGGCGGCGATAATGGCGATGTGGGCAGATCAATATCCAGCACGGTATCCGCCTCGCCGGGCTTCAGCTTGGGATCCGAGTAGCGGCGCAGTTCCTCCTTCGCCTGCTGACCACCTCCCAGACAATCAGTAGTGCAACAGCCTATGGGCAAATCCACGCTTATCATGCCCGAGTGGCGGTAGTCGATCTTTGGCGGCGTGCTGTAATCGTAGGGATGCACGGCAGTGTCTGGACCCACACTGGTCTGGTCACTCAGCACATCGCGGTTCTCCAGAAAGATGGACGAGTTGGAGTAGCGCTTTGTCTGGTGCGGCTTATAGACGAAACCACCAAGACCATTGGCCACCGCATGCGAAACACCAGAGCTGATAGATGGTGCCTTGTGTTCGCCACTGCCTGTAAGGAAATAATGTGGGTTAGTTTAGCTCAGCTATCCTAGTCCCCCAGCCACTCACCACTAAAGCTGCTCAACTGCAGGGCATGTTCGCGACCCGTGTCCGTGGATATGCCGCTGGCACTGAGATCCTGCCGTGATCCGGCACATAGATCCGTGGCCGAGCCGCGACTAGAGCCCTCCGAGTGCTCCAGCACGTTGTGTATGGAATCGTGGAAGGGCGTCATGCTACCCGATCCCTGGGGACAGGGACGGAATGAGGAGATCTGTGAGACAACGTCATCGAGGGCCCAGTCGCGGTCGTAGTTGTGCTGCGACTGAGAGCACTCAATGTTGGCAGCCACCGCTACTTGGCCCAGTTGCTGGCCGCCCGGCTGCATTTGCTGGTGCCGCTGGAGGCCATGTCCGTCCTCCGTCTGCGTGCAGGCGCTGCTGCTGGTGTGTGGCACCTCCAGTTCCGCCGCCATTTGCAGCATATGATGCGGCGATGCGTTCAAGAGACGTTGCATTTGCTGATGCAGGCCCAAACCCGCACCGCCACCACCGTTCTCCATTGACGCACAGCTCG